TTGTGGTGAGCGCCTGTAGTCCCAGCTACGCGGGAGGCTGAGGCAAAAGAATCACCTAAGCCCAAAAGCTGGAGGTTGCTGTGAGCTGTGACGCTACAGCACTCTACTGAGGGCAACAACATGAGACTCTGTCTCTACAGAAAAAAGAAAGAAAGAAAAAAAGAAAATGGTGACCCTCTCCAGGCAAACAAATTAGACAAAGGTGACCCTCCTGATGCAGATGAAACCACACCAGGATTCCTGCCTCTGGCTGATGCCTGGATGAAGGACACAACCTGCACTGTGTTGAGAAAGATTCTTAGGGTTCATCTGGGCTCATTGGAAAAGAGTGCCATGATTAACTAGTAATGTCTACTAAGATCGAGGGAGTGGGATGGGGCTTCAGGGGGCAGCACAGGTGTAATAAACTGCCATTCCTGACCTAAACTCTAGTCCTGCCTCCCACCTCTCTCAAAAGGAATGCCCTGCCTGGTGCAGTAAGTCACTTTTACATCTTCCTCCATCTTCCCCATCTTAGTAAAGGGCCACACTGCCTGGCTGCTCAGCCACACGCCTAGGAATCATCCTGAAGTTCTCTCTTTGACTCCCCCCTCTCATCCAATCTATCCGCAAGCCCCATGTTTTGAAGTCCATTAGCTTCTCACCATCTGCACCACAAGCATTTTAATTCACACCACCAGGTTTACTCACCTATGACAGTAACAACTCCCACCTGCTGATCCTTTGCTACCTCTCTTGCTATCCCATTCTCTACTCCCCACTCAGGCTACTCACCATAGAAGCCATCATTTAAAAACATCAGATGAGTCATCCTCCTGCTTAAATCCTTTCCATGGCCAATATCACACTTAAAGTAAAATCCTAGAGCCTTGTCATGGCCTTAAAGGTCCTGTATGATTTGGCCCTTGCCCCTCAGCTCTACCCTAACTACTACATTCCAGCCACATGGGCTTTCTTACTTCCCACAAATATATCACCCTTGTCTCCATGTAAGGACCGTTGCCCTTGCTATGCCCTCTGTGGAGAAAGCCCTTCCTCCAATCTCCATATTTGAAGGCTACCTTTAGATCCTTCTGGTCTCAGCTCAAAGAGCCCCTCACAGAGTTGCCCCTCCCAGCTCCATATTTAATGCTGCCTTCCCTGCCTGATTTTGATTACATCTCTACTTCCATCATAATTTCACTATATGGTATTATTTATGTGTTTGCATGTTTATTGTGTGCTCTCTCATTACAATAGACCTTTTCTGTCTTGTTCACTGAGGTATCCCATGTTCTCTAGAAAGGAGCTTAGCACATAAAACATGTTCAATAAATGTGTTTAAGAATAAATAAATGACTAAACAGCTCCCTGCCATTTCTAGGGCGAACAGAATCCTTACTCCTAGCCCAGAGTCTTCTTGAAGCTATATCCTTCCTGCAAAGCTCTCTCACATTGAACTCCTCTCTTTGACGCATTCCTAAAAAGAGCCCTTGTGCCCAGAACAGATATCCACATCCACCCACAGGAGTTCCAGAAACAGATATGAAGACCCTGCTGCCAACATAAGTCTCTGATCAGCAGAACTACACCTGGGTCCACACACAGCACCCAATATAGTGTACACAAAACCACCTGTCCCTCTACCCACACAACTCTCCCCACCCTCTGCCCCAGCAGGGATGGGCAGGGAAAAGTCAGGGGTGAGTATGCAAGCAGAGGAGGTATGTACTCCAGGGGTGGGGGCATTACCTCCAGGCTGAGTGCCATCTGCCGAATGTAGAGCATATTCAGGTCCTCCAGGATGTGCAATCTGTCCTGCATCTCTGTGCCCCACCAGTGCCCTTTCACTTATAGACCCCTCCAGAGGGGGCAGATAGTCCCACAATTCTCCTCCCACTGTTCCCTCAGTCTTGAAAGAAGTGACCAGAGTTTGAGCAGAGGCTGCCCTGTCCACTCGTTACTGTTACTCCTGCTGCTGTGAAATTTTCCTCACCTACTGCTGTTCCAAGGCCCCCTAGGGAAGCCAGGCAAGGGAGGAAAGGAAAGTAAGGTGAGGATGAGTGGGGTCCCAGGAGACAAGGCCAGCTGCAGAGGGGGCTCTGGGCACAGAGTGTCCAGTCTTGCTTTGGTGGCAGCTGTTCTCCCAGCTGTGGAAGAAAAAGGCCCTTTCATTCCGACTCTGGCCCCTCCCCAGCCCCCGCCCACATCCCTGGTCCCGTGAACAGAGAATCTGTATGCCGAGAGGGCAGTGAGGGGCAGGCACAGCTGGAAGGGGGCAGGGAAAGGACACCTCATGCAGGTTCTACAGAATCGTGGAGTTTGTCAAGAGGTTGGAGCTTTTAGAAAGGAGTTCAGGCTTAGTTTGAGAAAGTTAGAAAGAGCAAGAGAGGTGAGAGGCTTAGAGAGAGTGAGATCAAGCAGTGGGACAAAGGGGTGAGTCGGTAATGCGGCCCAGCCTCCAGGGCCACCCCTCCAAATCGGGGCGCCCATCCAGCCCGCTCCACCCTGGGCTCCCAATTACCTCGCTTTTCCAGCAGAAGGGAAGAGAAGGAGGGAGGAAAGCAGGGGTGTGCCTGTCTGCTGCTGCCCCCCACCCGCCCGCCCTGCAGGCCCCTTCCCTTCCAGACAGGAAACCAGCCCCGATACCCAGCCAGCTGCAGCTTTGCCCCCCTCCACTCTAGGCCCACGGAGTCACACTCCGCACCGCGGCGGCTGGGCCCTACGGCTCCGCCCTGGCTCCTCAGCTATGGCCCCCAAAGGCCCCGCGGATCGCAGGGGCGGTGCCATCTCACAAGCCCCTCCTCTGTCCCCCAGCCTCGCTGGCCCCCAGCTGGTTCCTCAGGCAAAGTTGCTTAAGGGTGGGGTACCCGACAAATGGCCTTTCCCCCTGGCCACTAGCTTCTGAGTCAGAGAAGGCTTGGGACACTGGGACAAGAGTGTGAAAGGGCCTTTGTTCTGGGCAGACTGGAGGGAAAGGGCAGAAGCCAGGCTTGGAATCCCAGCCCAGGGGGAGAGGGGGCGGGAGGAAGGCCCACCTCGCTTAACCCTTTCCAGGCCCCAGATGGAAGGAGAGTTTGGACTTGTTCTTGGGCAAGCGTAAAGCTGGCCCTGGGGACAGAAGAGTCTTCGGGGCAGCTACTCGCCCTCTCAGTTCTAGCTCAGCACACACCTTCAGCCCCACCAGAGACTCTTTAGGCAGTTAGGGTAGGGCTCAGACCTGTGGACGGATGCACTGGGAAGGAAACTCTAAGCCTAGAGGTTAGACCCCTGTTAAGCCCTTGGAAAAGAGGCGGAGAATTTGGGTGTGGAAAGTAACCCCAGAGTTAAAAGATAGCTCTCCACTCCCCTAGCCCTTCAGGGACACAGGAGCTGTCGAAGAAGGCTTCCTCTGGCGGGCAGACCTGGCCCAGAAATGCAGACTGGTGACAGTGGCTGGCCCAGACGGTAGAGACAGGTTGCGGGATGGGGCTGGCGACTGAAGTCCACGTGGGCGCCCAGACCAAGAGTCCGAGTGTAGCTACCCTCCTAGCTGCCCTTGGCCCGAGGACGCCAGGGAGGGAGGTCAAGCACAATGTGGGGACCCTCAAATTGAGGCCAACCCGGAGTTTTTGCAGACGCCAATCATCCCAACCAAACCAGGGAATGAATAGGGCAGCACAGATCCTATTAGTGCGCAGACAGTCCGCACCTTACTTTTTCAGTCAACAGCTCGAGAGGGTTTGTACCCAGACCGCAGCGTCTCCGCCCCTGGATGCGAGCGCGGACGTAGAGGCGGCAGGGGCGCGGGTCGCTCACCTCTGGTGGGTCGCTGAAGACACTGAGTCGGAAGCGGCCGCGTTTGAACTCCATCTCCAGGGCGGAGCCCCTGGCCACAGTGACACGGCTCCGGTGGTTTCGGGAAAACATACTGGCAGCTCTGCGCCGTTGCCTGCCCTGTGCACTCCCCACGCCGCCTGGCCCTGCCAGCTCTGGTGTCCTGTCCCTCGACGTCCGCCCGCCAGTCTGGCTGGGAATCTCCCGCTGCCTAGTTCCCAAACCCCGCCTCCGGAGACGACACCTGGGCCGGGCAGGGCGCGGTACCCTTCTCTTCCACCCCCGCCATAGGCCCAGCACGTCCGGCCAGTCCTAGGGCGCCAAGCAAACCTCGCCCAACAGCCCCAGAGCCGGGGCACCCTACACCTCACTAACAGCGCGGGGGCGCGTCTCCCCTTCCGGCTCCGGTCGTGAGCGCTTCACCTGGGCATGGGCGGGTCCAAGGAAGCCCCGCCTCACTAACCGCCCCCACCTGGCAAGCCGACTCCCAAGGCACGGAAAATCCCCGTGGCTACATGACTCCCCGAGTGCACATTCTGGGTCTAGCTGGGCCCTGGGACTGTGCCCAACCTCACCCCAAGGCAGCCTCTGAAGCGACTGTTTGAACTTCCTACAGTGCCAAATGTCAGTTCTTCGTCTTTCTCCCAACTTAGGGTCCCTTCCACAGCAATCCACCCATTCTTACTGACTACGATTCATGGGGCTGTGCTTAAGCTCCTCTTGGAACCCCAGCTCTGTCCCAGACTAGCCATGGAAGTCATTGACCTTTCGAGTTTCAGTTTTCTCTTCTGTTCAAAAGGGATACTGCAATTATTCCCACTCCTCAAGTTGCTACGAGTATTACATATAAGAAACAATGCATTCCATTTGATCTCACAATCCCATTACTAGGCATCTACTCAGAAGGGAAAAAAAATCATTTTATCACAAGGACATCTGCACTGGATTGTTTATTGCAGCTCAATTTACAATCACCAAGATGTGGAAACAATCCAAGTGCCCATCAACCCAGGACTGGACTAACCGTGTGTATGTATACCAGAGAGTACTATTCAGCCATTAAAAAGATGGAGGCTTTACATCTTCTGTATTAACCTGGATGGAGTTGAATCACATTATTCTTAGTAAAGAATCACAAGAATAGAAAAGCAAATATCCAATGTACTCAATACTAATATGAAGCCAGTAGATGAAATAATACAGGCCTGCACAAGACAAAAACTTAATTCAATTCAAGTTGGGGAGAAGAGTAGAAGAGGGGAGGGGGTGTTTGTGTGCTCCCACCTAATGGGAACGATGTAAGGGTAGATGGCACACTTCCTAGGTGTGGGGCACAACTACAACAACAGGTACTTTACCTAACAAATGCAAACACTGTAACCTAATCATTTGTACCCTCCTATTAATCTGAAATTTTAAAAAAATAAAAAGGGGGGGCAGGCACAGTGGCTCACACATGTAATACCAGCACTTGGGAGGAGAGGGGATGGATTGCCTGAGCTCACAAGTTTGAGACCAGCCTGAGAAAAAGTGAGACGCCCCCATCTCTAAAACATAGCCAGGCCTTGTAGTGGGTGCCTATAATCCCAGCTACTCAGGAGGCTGAGGCAAGAGAATCACTTGAGCCCAAAAGTTTGAGGTTGCTGTGAACTATGAGACCATGGTACTCTACCAAGGTGATCAAGTGAGACTCTGTCTCGAAAAAAAGAATGAAAGAAAGAAAGAGAGAGAGAGAGAAAATGGCTTGACACCTATGGCTCAATGGCTAGGGCGCCAGCCACATACACCAGGGCTGGCAGGTTCAAACCCAGCCCAGGCCTGCCAAACAACAATGACAACAACAACAACAACAAAAATAGCCAGGCATTGTGGCAGGTGCCTGTAGTCCCAGCTACTTGGGAGGCTGACTCAAGAGAATAGCTTACACCCAAGAGTTGGAGGTTGCTGTGAGCTGTGATGCTACGACACTGTACCAAGGGCAACAAAGAGAGACTCTGTCTCAGAAAAAGAAAGAGAAAGATAAAGAAAGTGCAAAATGCCTGGCATAGTGCCTGGCCAAGGCAAATGCCCTGTACATGGAGTTATAAAGATAAAGGAGCAGGTGCGGCACCTTCATGCCCCTGGATGGGACACCAGCAGTGTCAGCTCCCTGGACTCAGACCTTAAGTGCCTTAGGAGAGTGAGGACTTCCACCACCTCAATGTTATTGCTCGGCTGCTTTGCTGGGTGAGACAGGGTAACCACTGTGCTTCTGCAAAAACAGAGTTCCCTTCTCTCTCCTAGACAGCCCAGCAGGAGAGAAAAAAATGGCAGAGGGTTAGCTTGCTGACCACACATGACACACATGAAGGGGTCTCTTGGAAGCTTCAGAATTTACTGAGAACTTGAGAAAAGGTAGGGCTACCAGTGGAATGGCTGGGCCCAGAGATTTTTCACCCTTTTGCTCTTAGAGAGTCCAGGTTAGAATTGCTCTCCTGTGGTAAATTATACAATATTCTTCTGTAAAAGCTGACTCAAAATTAGTTCAGCAAAAGGAGGGATTTGATGGCTTATGGAACTGAAATGTCTAGGGGTCAGGCTTTAGATGTGGCTTGACTCAGACATTGAGTGTCACAAGGATCCAGTCTCCTCCTACAACTTTGCTCTACTTTCCTCCATGGTGGCATCACTCTCCACAGTGGAACAAAATTGCTGCCCAAAATTCTGGGTCTACATCTTTACAGGCCTAAATTCAGCTGAAAAGAGAGCATCTGTTTCCTGAGGCTCCTATACATGTCTGGGATTCATTGTGTGCTATTTGGGATCATTCATCCATCCCAAACCAATCATTCTTGCTGGAAATAGACAGAGCTGAACCAATCACTGTGGTTCTGTGAGCCTGGCCTGGATCACCTGCTCACTCCTGGAGACTAACTCGAACCCACTGAGCTGGGAGGGAGAGAAGAGGAGGAGGGTGGTTCCCCCAAAAATATTCCAGATAGTACCATCAGAAGGTGAGGGAATAAGTAATGGACATTAAAAACAATTACCATTCTCTACACACAAAAATTCACACGGAGAAGGGAGTTCTGGTTAGCAGATAAGGCAAACAAAAAGATTTTATAAAGTTTATGGCATTTGAGGCTCAGTGCCTGTAGCACGGTGGTTATGGAGCCAGCCAGATACACTGAAGTTGGTGGGTTAGAACCCAGCCCAGGCCAGCTAAAACAACAA